TCATCTTCCACTGTCATATCTTTTTAGCCTTTTGTTTCTGTTCATGGAATTTTCTTGGCAAAGATACTGGAGTGGCTTGCTCCAGGTAGATCGTATTTAGTCAGAAATCTCCACTATGACCCATCCATCTTGGATGTCTCATAGCTTCTCCTAATTACTCAAGCCCCTTCGCCACAACAAGGTAGCAGTCCATGAAGGGGCAACAGCTCAGTACCTGCCTTCAAATAAGAAAGATGGTGTAATATCCATGAAAGGAAAGGAACCCACTCTTCATTAGATATGCTTCTGGGGTAGTATTTTTTTCTTTAACATCAATAGCATGTATTGCTATCTGTTATTGACTAGTGAGATGAGGAAGCTACAGTGAATATGTCTACTTTATTCTGCATTTACTCGCCTATATTAAAGACACACAACTATAAATTTTATCTGCATTTTAGTGTGTTTTAATTTTGTACAGTATGCCAATAAAGGATTTTGTCTGTCTGTCAACTATAAATTAACATTGGTAGCTGGAATTATATTCTTTATAAACACTGCCTTTAATCAAAATGTAGCTATTTTGTTTTCACAGGATCTTTGGAAGTCATCTGCTATTGCATCTAAAGAAAGAAGAACTTGAGCATTGCTTTAAAGTCCTTAGCCTTGACTGTGTTTTAAAGCTCGGATGGGAAGTTGTGCTGAGCCATCAGTTCCATTCAGCATGGTCAATGTTAAGAGACTATACAAGTTATAGTTCAAAACATTTGCAACATTTTCTTTACTGTTGACTTAAAAGCTGGTTTTGGTGTCATCAGTATAATGCTAAGTAAATACTGATGAACTCCATGATGCTTATTTCTGTATAAATGTGCTCAAATGTTTCCTTGAATCATGGAAATAAGATCTGCATTATTAAAATCATGTTTATGCCACTGCAAGAAACAAACAAATCTGCCAATAAAACTCTTCTGAGATTGATCGCATAGGGTAGAACATGACCAATACCTTCGTTGAAAATATTTCTTGAGCCCCTAGGGGTAAACTGTGCATCACACCCAAATGTAAGTAATGCAACTCCTTTGCCCCCTTTTCTTAAGAAAAATAGCTTTTTAAACATCTGCTTTTCAACAGAGAAGTAGCAAGTGGTACAGAAGTGCTTATCCTTTGCTCAGGAATTTATCTACATCAAATTCCCCCTTCTAGCTATTGTTCCAAATACCAGCAGGTATCTGATGATGATGTGGGTGTTGTTTCCCCAAATGCATGAGAACCTAGATTCTTGACAACACTTTTAGCGGGAACATTTAGTTCAATCTCCCCTGGTGGGTTGCTGTCATAGTATAGTCTGCAGCTTTCTCACTACTGTGTTTCCACGAAAATAAGACTGGGACTAATATTAATTTTTGCTCCAAAAATGTGCTAAGGCTTATTTTCAGGAGATGTTTTATTTTTTTCATGTACAACAATCTACATTTATTCAAATACAGTTGCTGCACAATGGTGGAGGGTGGGGTTTCACTTAACTGGGGCTTATTTTGGTGGTAGGGCTTATATTACGACCATCTTGAAAAAATCATACTAGGGTTTATTCTCAGGTTCGGTCTTATTTTCTGGGAAACAGGTTAAGTAAAGCAGTTACTAACGGCTGTGTCAGTGTGGTTGGAAGCATTGCTGATAAGTGTGCTATTTCAAAGATTGGTACTGTTGGGCCACCAGTTGCATAGCAGATGCTCATGGCACACACATGTGATTACAAATTACAGGGATTTCTTTTCTTTTGCGAGTATCAAAGGTGAGGTTTTCTTGACAGGAGAGAAATAATGAAGCATTTATCCATTCAGGCTTTTCTTTCTTCTCTCACCATTTCAGAGGCAGTGTATTTGTTTTGCATTTTGTAACACTGTGAAAAGGACAGATGACGAGAAGTATAAAAAGCCACTGGACTGTCACCTCCATATTACTGCTGGACTATTTTATTAATGCAGTATTGCAATTTGTCTGTGAAGAGTTTCAGTCATCCAGGTGAGGTTATCTGGAAGTTGACTCAAGAAAGAAGTCTTGTTGCCATGACTCAACTTCCAGATATTGAAATTTGTGTTTGTTGATTTTGCCAAATGAACTGGAGATGGAAGATTTCTGTTCTTGAAATAACATATGAATGAATGAATGAATGAATGAATGAATGAATGAATGAATGAATGAATGAATTTATTATGGTCAAAGACCAGCATCAAACAAATTTAACAGTACAAAACAAAATAGAGTGTTATGCGTAGCAAAAATAACATACAAAATAGCCTACATTTTGCAAACTGGTGTGAAAGACAATATGCAATAGCATTCTCTAGCTCATTGACTATACTTCTGCATTTATTGAGGACAAGAAAACCTCACGCTTCCGGTGGGACACTTTTATTTTTGTTGGTTGTGGTGATGATAAGGAAACTTTCCCTTCGCCTTAAGAGGCTTGTGAACACTGAATTACACATTCTTGGTTCTGTGTGCTGAAGAACCAGAAATGCAGTTTCTGAATAGAGTGGGCACATATTGGTGAACTGTTATTGAGAACAACAGCTGCACAGATAGCCTTGCCTGCATACCTTAAGACTTTTTACCAACCATAACATTTCCATGAGCCTACAATTGTCATGCCCGAAGCATGTTGCATGACTCTTTCAGCATTCTGAAAATGAATTGATACTTCACATTGAGGTGAGTAATTGGGGAGGGTTCCAAGAAGATTGGTAGCATAGGATTGAAACAATACAGTTTGAGATGTGCTTGGCATTTGGGGGGTTAAAAAGCATCTAGGTGTCTTGCTGTCATGATAATTTTCTCAGAAGGAAGCCTGAAATTCTTAGTTACTGTTATAGTACTCTTTTGCAGATATTTCTTGGCCTTTTAGCCCTAGAGTAAAGAACTAGCTCGTTTTTGTGGAATGGTGATTATCCTGAAGCATGTTATACAGTATATTGGTGTTTTGTATTAATATTTGTACAGTCACATGGCATCCTGGGGATTCCAAGAATCAGAAGACTTGTAGCTGCTATAAAGCCTCTTTAATTAACTTGATTCAGATATTATTTGACAGTGGATATATTTCTCATGGGAAAAGTATTTCATTTGTTAGTGCTTAGCCAAGACATGCCACACGTTTCATTTTCTATCTGTCACTTAAACATTTCTTGAATGTATTTCTTGCCTTTAGTGAACTGTGTGTCTAAGAGGCACCTAGCCCCCTTGGTTTGTGAGACTATAATGCTTAGAGTCTTTCAAAGCCCCTGAAAGGAAAGTATGTTAATAGTAGTTCTGTTTCCAATTGACATGGTCATTTACTGAATAGGTTTTCCCAGGCACTCTAATACACTGGATAATACTGAACTAGATTACTCCACTAAATGACTCATAAGCCAGGTAGCTAGCTTCTGGCTCTCTAGACCAGTGGTTCCCAACCTTTTTTGAGTTGTGACCCCCTTTTATAATAGCCAAGTAACCTGTGACCCTCCCCCCCACATTGGCGTAAAAAGGCATTTTTAATAGGGTAAAGTCATATATTCTGAGAAAGCAGAGGCTTCTTTCTCCCCCAAAGGGCCTGTTTCTCATACATACACACTAACTTTAATATTCCCACTCTGAAAGGTCAAGGAAGAAATTATTTAACACGGGCAATAACGCTTATAAGGCAACCCATGTCCCCCCCCCAAAAAATATTTTGTAATCCCCTTGGGGGTTGCAACCCCCATGCTGGGAAACACTGTTCTAGATATATTGTTGGATTACAGTTCCTGTCAGTACTTGTCAGCATAGGCATTGGTGAGGGATCATGGGAACTGAAATCCAATGGTATCTGAAGGGCCACCGTTTGCTCATTCCTGCTGTAAGTGCTCCCCTTGAGCACACATTGGGCCGCCACTGCCTTTGTTCTTGAACCTCTAGTTTGGATGTGGGATGTACTCATATTATTAGAGCGCTATGTGGAATGATGACTTTATAGGGGAACAATAGATATAGCTGTTGTAAGGATAACATGAATTTTCACAAATAATCTTGTCCTCAGTTGAAAGGGGTATCTCAAATTTGTCAGTCTTTGTGAGATATTTTTATCTGGCACAAGAATGAAATAGCAGACTTTTTTTGTCAGCAGCAACTTTAGTAGAAAATTTATATTTTTTCATTTAAAAATATGTATTATGAGTACAAAACCTTTGCACATAAACTTTTATTTTGCATTGATGATTACTTTGCACCAAATTCATGTTTTTATGCAAAGTACCAGACTATTTGTACAGAATACATGTTGTTTTTCTGTAAAAAAAAAAAAAACCTCCAAGAAAAATTGTTTGCAAAAAAGTCACAGAATAGTGGTGGGAAAGACAGACTGTTATAATATTGTTAAACAGGGAGAAAAGACATTTTTGGTTCTCATCAGCAAAAACAAAATGAACAAGATTTACATCTCCAGGGTGCTATGCTGTGTATGGTTATGGCAGATTGAAAATAAATCATACAGTGCAGCTCCTGAAATGCTCAGGCTGAGATCACTGACAAATATGAATCAGATCATGGAAACAAACTTGTGCTGGATAAGTTGCAGAAATAGGTACTATATTTCACAGAGAATGTGAAATAGTTGATAAATGAGTCACTTACCGTATTTTTCGCACCATAAGACGCACTTTTTTCCCACAAAACGGGGGGGTGGTGGAAAGTCTGTGCGTCTTATGGAGCGAAAAATACGGTAATTTTATTAAAATACCACTCTGGTGAAGGAGGCTATAGATGAGTAGTAATCCTGTTTCTGTAAATGGTTTTGCTCACTGGGTAGAATGTAATATAAAGTATTCAGTTGTATTTGCATTGTTAATTAACTGCTAGGTAGAAACTGCTGTGGTGAAACTATGCAATCTGCTTTGATTAACTTTTTTTCTTTTCTCTTTTTCTTCTAGGTGAAAGAATGGTTATGTCTAAATTGTCAGATGCAGAGGGCATTGGGGATGGACATGACAACAGCACCCCGCTCCAAAAGCCAGCAGCAGCTACACTCCCCTTCACTTTCCCCTTCTCATTCCCCAGCCAAACAGCCACAACCACAGCCCCAAGGATCAGAGAAACAACCAGGAACTATGCAGCCAAGCCCCAGGTCACATGCTGGTGTCATGCAGCCAGAAAGCTCCAAACCACCCCCAGTTTCAACGCAGAGGGAACAACACAGCCAAGTCCAGCCAAAACCTGCTGCTCCTCCTCAGGAAGGGGTGAGGTCTTCCCCTCAGCATCAACAAGCAAAGCCTTCGTCCACTGATCAGAGAAAGACTGTGGGAGACTCCCCAGCTAAGACTGCAGCCCCTCCGCCCAGCACTGGGGTCCAGGAGCAACCCCAAGAAGGCCTCACTGGGAAGCTTTTTGGCTTTGGAGCTTCTCTCTTGACCCAGGCAAGCACACTTATGTCTGTCCAACCAGAGGCCACCCCACAGAGTCAGCAGTCCCCTGGCAAAGTGCCTCCAAAAATTGTCTTCAGTGATGCCAGCAAAGATGCTGGTCTTAAAGCCCCAGGCACGGTACCTGGAATGCAGGGTAAAGCTGGAACTGTCCCAGCTGCAAAGCAAGTGAAAGTGGAACAAGTAATCAAGCCAAAGGAAGTGCCGAAAGAAAGGGTCTTGTGCCCCCTCTGCAAAGCGCAACTCAACGTTGGTTCTGGAGAACCCTCCAATTATAATACCTGTACAACCTGTAAGCAGCAGGTCTGCAACATGTGTGGATTCAATCCAACACCTCATCTAGTGGAGGTAAGGGGGTTTCTCATAGCTCATCTTTCTAATTATTCCAACTTGCCTTATGTTGAAAAGGAGTGTTTTTCCTGTGATGTGCAGGATGGAATTTTTGAATTTTTTTTGGAATACAAATCCCAAAATTCTCCATTCTGGGAGTTCTCCTTGATAGACAAGCACCTTACAAACACCTAAGTGTGACTTACCTTGGAGAAAGTCCTCAAATAGAAGGCTTTGAGGTTAGACAGCCTAGCTTTGTCTAGATTCTTGTTCAGAAAGAAGATTTCTTATTACCATCACTTTCCCCTCAGTTTTGTTGGGCAGAGGTGGCTGAAAGCAATGTGATTATGTTTTATGCTGTGAAAGGGTGTTGATCCTATGAGAAGCAGCAGAACTACAGTGAGCAAGTAATATCCCTGCCTTCTGAGCCCCAAAGCATGAAGCTAACATGACTAGAAATAAATGATTGTTTTGGTTCTGGTTGCGGTTTGGCTCCAGTTGGTTTGGATAACCAGATGAAATAGCAGAGTGTTTTACTATTCTCTTAGACAGATCCTGGCAATAATTCTCTGGCTGCTACAGAGATAATAGTGGCATGTCTGTCAAACACAAGGAGGCTGTTTGGTTTGTGAGCCTTTGTTCTTCTCAGTTGGGGAAGAAATGCAGTAAGTAGGAAAGGTCTGAAGTTGTACATAGGCTTGTGCCGCCACACTGCCAACATGATCTTCAGGAAGAAATGAGTGCTGAGTGTTCATTTTAGATAGTTTAAAAGAAAGATAGTAGTAAATAAGTCAGCCATTACTTGATAATGAATAAGGTATTTCATCTTTAAATGCAAATATGACTTAGAATACCTGGATATGCTTGAATGATGTACTTATGCTTCCAGTACACCATGACATGCAAATTGTGAGGGGAAAACAGAGGACCATAATTGTAATCTTTAGCTGAAAAATGTACAAGTGCTTTTCCAGTTCTGCTAGAATGTGATGCCTTGTTGTCTCCTAAAGTTGGATAGAGCAACTGATAGAATGGAATGGAGTTGATGAGGGCCATGGTGCACTACAAGCTCCAATACTGTGAATATCATCAAGAGGTATGAATAATGTCATCTCCTAGGTGAATGTCAGATCACCAGAGCATTAATGGAATCTTGATGCTTGAGGCGATGGATTACAGTGGGGTCTCAACTTACGAACTTAATCCGTATTGGAAGGCAGTTCTCAGGTCGAAAAGTTCTTAAGTTGAATCTGCATTTCCCATAGGAATGCATTGAAAACCATTTAATCCGTATCTGCTCTTTTCGTCCATAGAAACTAATGGGAAGCTGCTATTCCGCCTTCTGCCACTAGAGGGGGATATTTTTTCTTTTTTCCTTTTAACCTAAGATGACTTAGCTTTTAAAAAAAGGGAAAAAAGAGTTCATTATCAGGAACTGAGCATGTGGCTTGGGTCACTTGCACAGTCTATAGATCAGGTTGAGAAGCTTGGGACTTTTTCAAGTTTATATAGACGTTCTCTCTCACATTAGTTTAAACTTCTCTGATTTAACTCTAATTGATGCTGCTGAACAGCTGTCACATTCTACATAGCATAATAGGTCTGCATTTCTCTGGTGAAATTGAAATGGCTGTGTAGATGTCATCTTTCCAATAAAGTAGCAATACCCTACAGTTGTGGTTGTCCTTCAGTGTCCCTCACCATTGTCTGTGGTTGGCTAAGGTTGACCGGAGTTTCAGTTCAGTGATATATGGAAGGCAACACATTGCCTTCTCCCTTTCATATGTTTTAACTGGTGAAATAGGATGTGTGAAAATGATGAAATTGAAATGGCTGTGTAGATGTCATCCTACCAATAATAGGATGTGTGAAAATGGAGGCATGGTCAATAAATATAGAACTGCCTCTTAAGTTCAAACTGGATGAGACACTGAGCTTGCATTTTGAAGATGATTCCATGTTTGTCCTCCAGCAGCTCAGTTTCCACAGAGTCCCATATCTGGGTAATGTTGCAAATTAAGACCATGTTTACCTCCCAACTGCCAACTATAAAACAAAGCATGTTAATTTCCCGAGTATGCAGATGATAAAAGCTAGTGCTAGGTCTTTGACAGTTTAAGGAACTCATGAACTGCCTATTCCACCTAGTTTAGTGCTTGTACTAAAAGGGTTAATATGGAGGATTATAAAGACAAACTATGGAAAGCCTCACTTACTGTTAATCCGAACTGCAGTGAAACCTTTTTCTTCAATGTGCCTTGGAGGAAAGAAATATTTGTATTACTGGAAATTTGGATTTACGCTAAAGTGTACAATTAGACTGCTTTTAAGTTGGAAAGAAACAGTAGATTTTAAAGAAAGTAGGATAAGTGCTTTTTTTAAGTTGGAAAGAAACAGTAGATTTTAATAATAATATAGACTCTTCTGTGCGTAATTTGAACATATTAATACCTTTTCTGATATGGTGGGAATTGAGTTTATTTCACAGATCTATTATTTGGTCTGATTTCAGCAGTGCAGAATAACACTAGGGATCAATCCTAGTTCTTGCTGCTCTAGGGAGTGATATTGATGATGATGAGATAGCACTGAACCAGCATAAAAAGATAGTGTTGTGAGGTAAGATGAAGCACTGTGGCTAACATGTCTGTTACTTAGACAGAACATAAAATCTAGTCACTGGTTACTTGCACTACTTTAATTCCAAGTTGCATAAATCTCTCTTTTGCCCATTATACCCTGCATTTTCCAAAAGAATGATAGAAAGCTATCTTGAATTCAAGTTTATATAGATGTTTCTCTCACATAAGTTTAAACTTTATTTAACTCTAATTGATGCTATTGAACAGCTGTTACATCCTACATAGCATAACAGTTCTGCTTTTCTCTTGTGAAACTGAAATGGCTGTGTAGATGTCATCTTGCCATCAAAGTGGGAAGACCAATGGAGGGATATATATATATGTACTCTTTATATACTTGTGCTTGTGGAAATCCAAGAATCTACTTATTTCCACAAGTCAAACCCTATTTCAGAATGCTAAATTAAACACAGGTACCATGTTGAGACACTCTGTGTACCCAAAGGAAATTGCAAACATTTATTTTTAAGTATCCTGGACTCTTTTAATGGGTACATTCATCCTTGTGTTTGTTCTAGCAAAAAGGGCCAAATGGTATAATTTTGTGAATTAGATCAGAAGTGTTCTCTGCATTTAAAAATCATTTTCATGTGTTTGCATAAAGATGTTAGCGATAGCTGGTGTATAAGATACATTAGTGGAGCAAGAGAGAATAACATATGAAATATTTTAGAACAAGGTCCACATCAATTGCTTATGGCTGAACCCTTGAATCAAATCCAGAGCTGCAGCATAAATTGGAACAATCCACAAGCTCCATAGTTCAAGAGAGGAATTGGAATAGTAAAGTGGTGATCTATGAAGGATTAGCTTTTGGTTTAAATGGGGGCGAGAGTGCCAGAGAAAAAAGGAGAGGAAATGGTGCACTTCCCTTTTTTGGAAGGACATCCTAATTCAAGCTAACTAAGGTTAGGGAAACAAGGGAAACAAGGCTTCCCCCTTACCTCTTGATAACAAAAGCAAGATGAGAGCCAAGAGAGAAATACGAGAGGAAAATAAAGTGTCATCAGCAACCTTATGAATATCAATTGAGGTTGAAGGAAGGTCAGAATAAATCAGAAGAGGTAAAGAATATTCCTGGAAACATCAGAAGGTTCTTCTCTTGCTATCAACTCCTTCCCAGGCAAAAACAGGTATCTTCTTCATTGTAATCTGCATTGCATTCAGTCACCTCCAGCCAAAAATGGAGAGTAATGTTATGGGGAACACATTATAATAGAAGACAGGTTTTCCACCTCCCCAAATTAAATGGACAGACTTATATCCTATAAGAATTTCCATGACTGGGAAACACATGGCATACATTAAAAGCCACAATCAATCAAACAAGAAAGCATAGCATGCAGAGTGGAAGCAGCTATACTAACCATTTCCCGAGATTGAAATCCAGAACTACAATGGTCCCTAGCAGAAAACAAACTACAGTAGATACGTGTATATGTTGCTGAGTACCATGGGACTTTGAAATTACTGCCCAAATATTTGAAATAGAGTGCTATGCCACATTTTAGGTTGTTTCTGAAAGCCAAACTATAGGTGGAATAAATACATGTTTGCCTCTAATATTCAGTGTTCTGTTTTAATACAAATATTATCAGCAGCAGTTTGAGACTGTGATAATTAATAAGACCAATGTAGGCATGGAGTAGGAACATAACTTTCAGCAGTCTGGAGGAAACGTCCTTTTAAACTACGTACTATAAGATTTGGTGGTAGTGATGAAGAATCTTCCATTTGTCCCAGGAGAGTGAAAGTATAGATAAGGCATTATATGAAGATATTTACATGTGTGATTGTGTTTAAGCATGGTTCATTGTAGACAAGAGCTTTAGCAATAAAAGTGAAAGTAGAATTAAACTGTGTCATGTTTACCATAGGATCCTGTTTTATTTATGCCAGTTAGAGCCATATGGCCCCTTGCTAAAATAAAAAATTAATGTTCAACAAACAGCTCTATCTACGTATGTAGCTGCCTTTCATGCTAATACAAACAATGTAGCTACAGTTGTGTGCATTTTTCTTTTATTTATAAGTAGTGCCTATCTACAAGCTAAGGTTAATTATAAACTGATAAATAATAAACTACAGACTACAGTGTACATTTTCTGATCCAAAAGAAAGGAAAGGAATATTCTATTGTTGTGATTTTTTAAAAAATTATTTTTTTTCACATCAAGCTAAACAGACTAAATAAATAAATATTTGCTGTTAAAACAAACCTCTTGAGGGGTGCAGAAGCAATAGTTTTCTATTTGGTTTGGCCACTGATGTCAATATTTTTAACAAGCAATCAAATTTGATTTTAATTGTTTTAGGAAGGTAACCATGTTTGCCTATTGAAACAAGGACAAGGAGGAGCCTTGCAGCACCTTAAAT